AAGCCTAGAGCCCACCTGACTCCAGAGACTAGAATTTGGCGGGAGTGGGGGCGGGGGTGCTCAGACAGGGATGGCTTTTGCAGGGAGGTAAGTCTGAAGAAGGCTTGGGAAGAGAGAAAAGTGGGCTTGCTGAGTACTTGGAGCCCCTAAGAAACTACTTGTTCAGGGAAAGTTCAGCAGGTGGGCAGCTCCCCATCCGGTCCGCTGGCCCAGCATTAGGACTGTAGTTTCATGGGGCTGGGGGCGCCCTGCCGACGGCCTTGGGGTTGATGCATGTGTTGGGAGGACCCTGGCCTTCCGGCCTTTTCTTGCCTTTGCCCTGACCCTAGAGCACATGTGTCAAACACAAGGCCCGCGGGCCAAATCCGTCCCGCCAGGCCTTGCAATGTGGCCCGCACCGCGCTGTCATCACTGCACTCCGCTGCGTTTCCATCACAATGACAGTTTATGACTGTTCAGTAAACCATTCGGCCCGCGATTTAGGCTGGATTTTAGATTTTGGCCCCTTCTCTGATTGAGTTCGACACCCCTACCCTAGAGAGTCATTTCCCCTCTCTGGGCCTTAGCCTCTCTTTCTGTCAAAAGCTGATGTGTGGACTCAGTTGGCATAAGCAGATACTTAGAGCTATTTGTAGGTATTCACAGAAAAGCTCTGGGAAGTTTTTGGTTACCAGCATTGCCCTTTCTCCCAGTAATCATTATGGGTCATCCTAGCCTTCGGTCAGGACATCAGGTGGAATTGGGGATTTTATAGAACTACTTTTCTGTTTCTGTGGGAGAACCTGGGGAGAATATTATCCACAAGGAGGGCAGTGTGAAAGCTAGACCTGGTTCCTTCTCCGCGTGCCTTTGGTATGATTTTGCCGAAGGCTTTTGGGTGGGGAACTCTTCCCTGGAGACCAGGCCCTTTTGCGTCCTCCACCACAACCCTCCACTCCTGCCCTGCGGAGCAGGCCGCCCTTCAGGCGCCTTAGTTTTCCTGAAAGGTTTTGTGGGCATAAGGCACCATCCTGCCTCTCAGCATCTCCTAGCGCTCCAGTGCTTAGGCAGGGTGGTGGCGCAGTGTCTGCCTTGGAAGGGAGAGGCAAGGGAGGAGAGGAGATGTGCCTGTTGGCTGAGAGGTGTCTGTGACAGGTGCGCATGGGGGTGCTTTGTTCTGATGCCTGCCCTTTGCCAGGCTGGGGTCAGGCCAGGGTGCCTGTCTTGAGCAGCCTGTCTCCAGGATCTGCTCTTTCTCTCCATCCCCCAATAAATTCGGCTGCACACTAAGGAGATTTGTGGGGCCCAGAACATAGGAGTTTAGACCAGTGGGCCTCACCTTGGGGCAGGTTAAGGAAAGACCCTGTCCACCAGAATGTTGAGGAACCCTCAGACTGCACCCCCAACGTGTCTAGCAAACTGTGCCCTTTTATTCTTGAGGAGTGCTCTTCATTTGAGGCGTCCTGTCTGCTGCCGAGTTTGGAGTGGATCTCCTGGGAGGATGTGACCTCACACCCGTGCCTTCCTCCTCCCGCTGCCCACAGGAGAGCCCTGGAGGACTCACCGAAAGCCGGCTTAATGGTCCTGGGGCTTTGGAGGATGCGGCCCCGACGTCTCTTTTTCATAACATCCCCAGGGCTTCCCCTGCCTCCTGATTTTACTCAGATGCCCTCTGCAGGGGGCGGGTGGGGGCCAACTCGCCCATTTTAACAAACGGAGAGCTGAGTCTGTGAGTCGGGTGTAAAGTTAGGACTAAAGCTCAGGGCTCCCAGCTCCCAGAGCCTTTTGAAAGTGAAAAGTCCGGCTTCTATGCTATTCCCCGCAGACTAACAGACTCTCCATTCCCTCAACAGGACTAGTGGTGGTGAATCATTACCTAGCATTTCAGTTTTTTGCGGAGGAATATTATCCTTTCTCAGAGGTAAGAAGCGTTTAGTACATCACACTCTCAACAGGGCCAGAAGGATAAAGGGGACTTGCGTGATTTGCTTAGTGAACCGAGCTATGATTTGAAACTGAGCCTATTGAGGGATAACTCTTTGTTTAAAACTTAGTGTAGATGGTTTTAGAAAGCGGTGTGGAGGAGGAACAGGGACCCCTTCGGCTGAGATGGGGAGACACGGCTGTCCCCTAGTGAGTCCTCTGGGTCTCCCAGGCTCCCCGCCTAACGCCCGGAGGCCAGGAAAGGAGGGTGGAGGGGCCTCGTGTGATGCAGGTTTCACAGGTCCGGTGGGCTGCAGCCCCAAACCCTGGTTCCCCCCAGTGCCTGCCCAGGCCTTCTGCCCTCCGGCTTTTCCATGCCCTCCCGCTGCCGTCCGGACCCCTGGGGGAGAACAGAGCGCTTCTTTGGGGCATGGGGGTCAGAGAAGTTCCCATCCCAGCGACCAGTGATTGGGGATTGTGGCTGCATGAGTCCTCCTCAGCCCGCACCTCTCCCCACTGACCTACCTCCATGTGAGAGGATGCCCTCTCTCTGCTTCCCAGGCCCTGGCCCCCTGCAGAGACCAGGTGTGGGGGCTTCTGTGCAGCCTTGACCACCTCTCTCAGATACAGCACCTCCGGGGGCGCCCTCTTCTCAGTGTCTCTCGTTGCTAGGTCCTGGCCTATTTCACTTTCTGTCTGTGGATAATCCCGTTTGCGTTCTTCGTGTCCCTGTCGGCCGGGGAGAACGTCCTGCCCTCCACCGTGCAGCCAGGAGGTGAGCAGGCTGTGTGCGGGGTCTCGGTGGGAGGCCAGCAAGGCCCCAGGCGGCTGGGGGAGCCGGAGCCCAGCCCTGGGACCGAGACGCTCGGTTTCCGGTGGGGAGGGCTGTGCTCCCTTCCAGACACACACACTCACCCCCCTGCCCGTGTCTCCGCAGATGACGTGGTCTCCAATTACTTCACCAAAGGCAAGCGGGGCAAACGCTTAGGGATCCTGGTTGTCTTCTCCTTCATCAAAGAGGCCATTCTGCCCAGTCGTCAGAAGATGTACTGACGCCCCCGGGGAGGGGATGTTGGGGCGAGATCAGGAGAGCCGGGCCCCCGGGCCTCTCTGTGAGCCTGGAAGGTTCCATCCCCCAGCCCTGGCCTGACTTCCTGCAAGTCTCCCCAGAGCCTCCATCCCCGCCTTCCTCAGGACGCTCAGCTGGGCTCAGACCTGATGCTGCTAGAGGCGGTGACCTCAGAGGCACCAGGGCAGGGGCGGAGCCTGCGTGGCGGAGGCCACGGCCCACCTGCCTGTGTACAAGCTGAGCTCCGTGGCCCGCCCACCCTTCCACGCTGGGTCAGGAGGCGCTGGCTCCGTCGAGGTGGGCAGGGCAGGGGCCTTGAGGCTGGAGAGCAGGCAGGGATAGGGTCTTTGGGCAGATGGATGGCCCATGGGGCCGGGCCATGGCTTGGCAATTCCCAGGAAATAGTTTCTGCTGTTGAACTGTGATTCCTGTCCAAGTCTGATACAGTTTGAATAAAGATTCTAGGTGGTACTGTTGCCTTAATCCCCTGAAGGTTCTTCATCTTCCTTTCTTCCTGTTGACCTTCTGCCCCGGCCTGGACGGGCTGTTCCGAGGCAGGGGTTCCTGTTCTGGGACTGGCCTTGCTTTCCGAAGGGACTGTTCTTTGTCCCTAAGTGGGAAGGGGCAGAAGGAAGAGCTGAGCCTGGTCAGGGGGTGGGGAGTGGCAGGTGGATGCAGCCTTTCTTATGCTCCCCCACCACCGTCTTTTCTTCTATCTCTTCTTTCCCTAAGGCTCCATGACTGTCAAGTGGGGCGGGGGGTGTGCAGAGAGCGAGCGAGCAGTTTGGGACTGGGTTAGATTTTCAGAGCAACATCTACAATGCCCTATTTATAAGTCTTCCCCTGGAGAAAAGGAGTGGTTTCTGGCAGAATTCTATGTCAGGCTCAAGGAGAAACAAAACTCGACTGCCAGCAGTCCGGGCCACAGCCTGTTTTTTCAGAAATAGGCCTAGTGGAGGAAGCCGTGCGTCGCTGAGAGCACACGGGCCTGGCCCTCTTGTCTGTGTGCTCGGCCCCTGCGGAGATGGCTCAGGCTTCTGAGAAGGCAGGCGAGGTCCCAGGCACAGACCAGCATCTGTTAACCTTGCACTCCAACTACAGTGCCTTGCAGACCCTTGGCAGTACATCCCGGAATGAAGTCCCCACGAGAGCCGTTCCTGGCCATGTCTTATACCTCACAGCCAGGGTAGCAGGTGCAGCGATGGGCTGCACACGTAGTATCTCTAAGTCCCTGTGCTGCACATCTTTCCTCCACATCCCGCCTCAGGTCCCACTGTAGCCCTTCACTTCCTTGGCTCTTGCGTCTCCTGTTCTCTCTCAACAATACCAGCCTTCCCCCTGCCCTGGAAGGAGCAGCAAGCACAGCCGGGTCTTCTCTCAGTGGGAATTGGATCGCCAGGCCCCTTCATCCTATGCAGACCGGGGGGGCCAAGGTAGACACGGCGCCAACATCATACTCACTGCTGGGCCACAGCTGGCCCTGCTCACCCTCACTGTCCTCTTTGTTCCTCACCCTGAGGACATGGCTCCGCCTCCTCCATTCGCTCCACACTCCGTGCTCTTGCGGGGTTGCCAGTGGTCTCCTTGTGCAAATCCATTGAGCCCTTCTCACCCCTCACTGGGTCTCTGCAGCATCCGACAGGGCTGACCACCCCCAGCTCCTTGAGCCGCACTTCTCTGGCCGTTTCTCCTCCTACCTCTGTGGCTTCTTCCGGTGTCCTATGCAGGCTTCTCCACTCGCCCCTGCAGTGGGGTTTCTCAGGGTCCTGTCCTGGGCTCCCAGGAGGAGCCCGTCCACGCTCATGGCTTTGCCTCTTTGCCAAGGAAGTGAGAGTTGACTTCCAGCCCCAGCACCCCTCCTGGGCTTCTGAACCGGTTCTGCCGCCTTTGGGTGCACACGCTCCTCTCGCAGCCCAGGGGGCACCTGCCGTCCTCTGCGAACCTGCCTCTTTTGGGTACCTGCTGTCGCCCCAGGATCACTCAGGAGCCAAAACAGAAACCTGCTTTTTATCCCCGCTTTCTCCTTTGGCCCCCCGCATCCAATCTCTGAAAACTGTCAAATTTGCCTCCTTAATATCTCTTGATTAGAGCCACTCCCATTGTCATCAACTTTCACCTGGGTTATTGTGACAGCCGCCTCCTGCTTCTCCGTCCCACAGCTAGAGTTGTCTTTCTAAAATGCATAGTAGATCAAGTCACTTCCTGGCCTGCAGCCTCCCATGGCTCCCCTCTGCCTTCAGGACAAAATCCAGACCCTCGGCATGGCTGTGAAACACGCGGTATCCTGCTTCCCACTCGCCTCTCTGGCCCCATCGCTTGCCATCTTGCACTCTGGGTCCTGGCCTCCTGTATCCAGAGATGCCACTTTGATTCCCCTTCCCTTCACCAGGGCGTCTTTGTTAGTTCTCAACCTAAGATTTAATGTCGTCCAAGGAGCTTTTAAAGTCCCCTCCCCCGGCCCACTCCAGCACACCACACACATCACTGTGGGCATACTTGCCCATGTACTTGGTCTATCTCCTTACTAGACTGTAAGCTCCTTGAGGGCAGGGACTGTCGTTCAGTTTTTGTATCAACAGCGCCTTGCTTGGTGCCTGGCACATAGAAAGCACTCAATAAATGTTTGTTTAATGAATGATTTGTGGTGATGTGTACAGCGGATAGCAGGGGGTGCAGGCTAGCTTCCTGGAGGAAGTACAAGTGTGTCCATATGTCCATAGTCTCAAACTAAAGCCATGGGTCCTTCTTCCCCCACACATGCCCCTATGCCCCCCTGCCCTGCGGACACCACAGTGGCAGGGAAGCCATGGGCAGGGTGACAGTTAGCCATCTTCCACCGCCTTCTGGCTCTGGAGGTGAAGTGTGAGGCCTGGGTCCGTAGCAGAAGGACTTAGTCTGAAGAGGAGGCAGGTTTCCCAGTGGTTCCTCTGCCTGTCCCCGGTGCGCTGTTTGGAGGGAGGGAGGTGCAAAGCGGACACCAGAATGTTCCTTTCACAATGCCGGCACTTAGGATACAGACTGACCCCCACTCTGAGCTCTGGGCTGCTGCCCTAATTTGAATCTCTTGGGTGGGTCCCCAAGGATCTGGGCTTTTGTTGGGGGGGTAGTGGGAAGCCCGTGGGTCTCTTTGCCTTGTTCCCTGTCCGCAACATAAATGACCACACCTCAGCCCTCACTAGGCTGCCTCAGCTCGAGAGGCTACCAAAATAAGTTTATGGGGGGAAGGGGGTGTTTAGGGGCAGGGCAGAATGGGGAGCCCTTGGTGGGCTTGCACTGTTGCCACGAAGGTGTCATCAAACGTTTCACGTAAGCTCATGGCCAGAGTGTCGGTCCAGAAGGTGTTGTCGCCCATGTGCCGCTTCCGGTCCAGGTCCCTGATGCTGACCGAGTGGAAGCCCTGGGGCACCTTCATCCTGCACGGCCGCGCCTGCGGGTACAGCTCCCGGACTATCACCTCCAGGGGCAGCTGGGGCACGGGGGCCACCTGCTTGCCAGCCACCGTGCGCAGCTGCGCTCCACCTTGCCCGTCAGACCTGATCTTGACGAACCTGCGGAAGTCGTGCTCGTGGCTGGGGTCTGGATGCACACCCATGCGGATGACCTGCGGGGAGCCGAGCTGGGCGGTGGGGGATCTGGCCGGGTTGTTGCTAATGTTCCACGGCTTGTGCTGCCTCACTATGGGCTGCTTATAGAGGGGCCTGGGTGTCAGCAGGGGCCGCAGGTTGGGCTGTGGTATCTGCTGCAGGTGTTCTGGGGAGAGGTGGAAGCGTCTGGGCAGCTTGGGGATCTTGGAGACGGGGAGGGCCCAGGCACGGGCGTGGGGCTCTTGCTTGATGTTGTGGGTCAGAGGTTGGTCTCGAGGCAGTAGCTTGCGATGGAACCACTTCTTGAAATCAGCTTGACTCAGGATCCGTTGTTCTCTCTGCAATGTCAGAGGCATAAGATAGCGGAGGAGGGCTGCTCCCTCTATGCTTCTGTGGAAGGAGAGCCTGTGGCGATAGCCCTTGGATCCTCGGGTGTGATTGGTCAGACAACGTCCTACCTTAGTCTGATGGGAGCCCTGAGTCTGATGGGAGAATCCCCTGCCTCATGGGAGCCCTTGTTCTGACGGAGAGACAACTATTGCCCCAAGGGAGCCCCTGGGCTGAGGGGCTCCAACCTGACGGAGACCCAGCCTCCACCCTCAGGGAGGTCTTCAGCTGGAGGGGGAAGACGTGGTCTCTGCCCTACAGAAAACCTTGCATCTCGAGGGAGGATCCCATATTGGTAATGATGACACATCGTGCCCTAAGAGTCTCTGGTTTGATGGGAGAGAAAGGTTTATGAGAAGTGTAAGCTGCATCCTTGACCCTGGGTGGAGAAAGCAGAGAGGTTGGGAAGGCCTGGAGCTGGGTGGCGCCAATCTGAGCAGGCTTCTTGGAAGGACTTGGCTGGCCTTGAGCAGTCCTGTAGGGGGACACAGCTGGCTCTCCAGGCTGGGTCGGAATCACTTGGTCTGGCCATCTGTTTGTGCTTCCACTACAGTTGACCTTCAGCTCATCACAGAACTGTCCCCTACCTGCCCCCTGTCTCCTAGTTCACTTCCCAGGCTGTTGCTAAGCTCTCAGGTGGTTTGGAGATTGACCCAGCACTGGAGGTAGGTTCTGCGTAGGCTGAGCCTCTCATGATAATTCCATCAGCCTTGCCCCAGAGCTAGGTCAGTCAGCACATGGCTTTCCTTTAGCTTGAGGGATTGGAACGAGAGTGGACATAGGATCCAACTGAGGTCAGTAAGAGATAGGGGAGATCTGCAAGGGCCTGTGGGAAAGTTTAGAGCCACAGGAACAGATGCGCTTTGCCTATTCTGGACACAGGCGACTGTGAGGACTGAGAGGAGGGAGGGCTGAGAAAACGAGAGAAGTGTGGCCAGAACAGAGCTGGAGCCCTAGATTTGCCAGCTCCCAAGCCCTCCCCACTCTGGATCCAATTAGGGTTCCCAGCGTCTTTCTGGGTTTTTTTGGCTCTTGCATCCTATGTAATTATACCTGCTTACAATCCCTTAGTGACTCCCCTCTTCCTCAGCCATTGACCTGGGCCCCTGCCAAATCTCTAGCTTGTCACATCGAACCCCTGACTGTACTGAATTTGTACTTCTTGGCATACACACTTCTATGTGCCTCCCGCAACACAGGGCTGTCTGTTCCTTCAGCCTGGTCAGCCCTTCCCTCCTTCCTCATATGGCCAACTGCTACCCATCGTTAAAGACTCCTCTTAAGTATTATCCTTCTGGCACCTCCTGAGCCCCTTCTCCTCTGTGGGAATACAGCCCATCTCCTCCACTAAACTCTAAGCTCCTTGAGGGAGAAGACCACCTCTCATTGGTCTGTGGAGCCTCAGAGTCTAACAGGTGCCTCGCAGAGAGTATGCTGGAAGGTTGTTTATTTTTAATCTTCAACCCAGGATATTTTTTCCATTGATTTTGAGAGAGAGTGGAAGGGAGGGAGGAGGGGGAGAGAGAGACAGAGAGAGAGAGACATCTATTGATTGCCTTCCACATGGGCCCCTACTGGGTCTGGAGAGCCTGCAACCGAGGTATATGCCCTTGACTGGGAAGCGAACCGAGATCCTTCAGTCTGCAGGCCAATGCTCTAACCACTGAGGAACCAGTCAGGGCAAGATGGGTCTTTTTAACCAGTGCACTTCCCAATAAGGCAAGGACCTGGGTCTCATTAGATATTCTCCTCCTCACCAGAAGGGGGCACTGCACTAGGGAACAGGGCTTCATAAATGCTAATTTAAGCTGCTTTAGCTTTCTAACACAAGACAAGACTTTTGACCTAAAGAAGTGGCTTCTCAGGGTAGAATTTTAGGCAGAGGACGGGGGAAGGAGGCTATCTGGATGGGACTGCTTCTCGTCACTAACGGCACAGGCGGATCCTGCCTCTGCTCACATGCCTAGGCAGCCCTGCCTTACTTGATACTCAGTCTGGTAGTCCTGCTCCATGAGGGCCAGCTGGCCTTTGAGCCTCTTCAGCTTCCCCATCTCACAGGCAAAGTCCTTCTTGTCCCGTTTCCACATGGCATCCTTCAGGAACCTGGTGCCAAGGTGAGGAGGTGTCATCCTCAGTGACTGGCTGCTGCTGAGGGCCAGGGATGGGGGGAGGGAGGGGATAGGAGGGGCTGCCAGAGATGAGATGAGCAACATGCTGCACCCCCACTGACCAAGGCCCCTCTGGCTAACTACTTCCTGTGAGGTGAGAGGCAAGTGTCCGAGGGACCGATCACTATCCTCCTGAAGAGGAGCCAGGGGCAGGAAGGCAGTGCTAAACCACAGGGATGGGAAAGCCCCTGGAAATGATATCCTGGGAAGGGGCCAACTCCTAAGACTTCTCCCCCAGCCCCTGGCTTCCCAGACCCTCAGGGGCGGGGAGAGGGAAGGGGTGGCAGGCGGGGGGGGGGGGGGGGGGGGCGGTTCTCACTCACCGGGCACAGACGCGGTGGTTCCATATTTTGCAGTAGTCGATGGGCTTGCAGCCTATGGCGTCGCAGGCGTGGACATCGGCGCCGTTCTTCACCAGGACCTTCACACAGCTCAGCAGGCCCTCCTGCGCGGCCAGGTGCAGCGGCGTGGAGCCATTGCGTGTCTTACTGCGGGGGCCCGCCCAGGGGTGGAGGGCGGTCAGGAAGGACAAAGAGCATCTACCCGTCATGTTGGCGGGCAAACCGGCTTCCAGGCCTGCTCTGCCACCAGCCCACTGGGTGACCCTGGCATGTCCCTTCTCTGCCCTCAGCTGGAGGAGGAGGATTTGGACTTAGTTGCGGGGGTGTGGACAGGGCAGAACTGCTGGGAGGAGAGCTGGGTCTGCTGGACCTCAGAGACCCCTGACCTCGTCCTCGGAAATCAACCAGCCCTCCTGCCTCTTTCCACAAGCCTATGCACCCAGGGCCCTGCCTCCTCCTCCTCCTCTGACCTTGCCGCGCTCTTTCCTAGCACGGGGCCTTTGCACACGATGTTCACTCTGCCTGGGACACTTCCCTCTGGCTCTTTGCATGGCTGGCTCACCATCTTCCGGTGGGAATTTAAAGGTCACCACTTTAGAGGCGACGGCCCCTTCCAAAGAGCCTCTCCTGCCCCTTTCACTTCCCTCCCCACCCCCTGTTTGTTCTCTTCATACTCGGTCATTTTCTTCATTCATGCTGTGCCCCTTTACTGTCTGCTCCTGCCCTGGAGGCTGTCAGCTTCAGGAGGGCAGGGAGCATTCGGGGCGCTCCCTGCGGTGTCCCTCGCCTCCGGCATGGTACTCAGCACGGAGTCCGTGCTGTGGGAGCGAACAGTCTCCTGTCTGCCACCCATGCACTTCCCATGCATTTTCTCAAGTACCACAGAGTGACAGGCACTGGCATCCTCCCAGATTTCAGCTGAAGACACGGAGGCAGTAAATAGCTCCCAAACGTAAACACACGTGGATCTCTTAAAGCTTCCAAAGCCCGGGCCACGCCCCAAACTAATTAAGTTACAACCTGGAGATGGCACGCAGGCACTGGGCTTTGTGAAGCTGCCCACGTGACCCCAATGTCCTGGAGAGCACTGAGGTTTAGGGTGGAGTGATTTGCTTGGGGTCTCGATGTTTGCTAGCAGGTGGCAAAGCCGGGAGGTGAACTAGGTCTGACCTCTCCCGGAGCCGCCCAATTTTCTAACTGGTTCACCCTGTGGGCTTCACATGGGACCCGATTCTTGTCCCTCCGCAGCCCCTCTGCCTGTCCCGCATGGATCTGCCCGGCCTCCAAGCGGGCGTAGGCTGGACTCACCTGTTGAGGGATGCCCCGTGCTCAAGCAGATAGTGAATGCACGGGAGGACCACGTTCTTGTTTTCCTTGTGGATGACGAGGTGTAGTGGTGTCTGGCCATTTCTGGTGCGCAGGTCCACGGGAAACTCGTACTCCTCTACCAAGACCTGCAGGCACTCTAGCTGGCCTTTTTGGGCTGCAAAGTGGATGGCAGTGAAACCCTGTGGCGGCCAGAGGAGGGCAGGAGGGGGCTGAGCAGGATGGGGGTCCCAGGGTCCCAAACCGAACCAAGATAGCAGTTCCTTGGGTTTCCCCTACCCCGCTTCCCTCTGACCCCTCCCTTCCCCTCCTCCCCTGCCCAGGAGTCACTCACACCCCTTTCCCACACGAGTATGTGTGCTCACTCTTCCTGGTTGCCCCCAAATGGCCCTCCCACCGTGGGGAGGTGAAGTAGGACGAGCTAGCCAGAAAAGGACACCCGTGGGTGCCCTCTGCCCGGTGAGCACTGTGTGAGGAGCTCCCGGTGGAGGGGAGGATCCTTACCTTGTGATCGGAGACGATTCCCTTAAGGTCCTGATTCAGAGAGAACCGCAGCCATTCCAGGTTGCCCAAGGCGGCCGCGAACCACTCGCAATAGCTGCCATCCGGCCTCTCCTTTCTGAACGCAGAGCTGCTCCTGGAGACACTCCCCGCCGGCTTTACGGAGGCGCGTGGGGTGGGCGGGGGCTGCGCGCTCCTGCTCTCCCAGCCCCCGCCCACGGAGTAGCACCGCGGAGGCTCCTCGCTCCTGCGGGCGAGCGGAGACGCGAACTCGTGCTGCGGGCGGGACGGGGGCGGGGCCGAGCCCGGGCGCCCGGGAGGGCCCTGGCCTGGGCCCAACTCGGCACCCCCGCTGTCCGCGCCCCCTCGTCCTGGAAACTGGGCATTTAACGCACCCACCGAAGACCAAGAGACCATAGCCTCTGTTTCTGATTGTAACACGAATGAGTGCGGATTGAGAAAAAAAAAAAAGTAAAAATACAGAAAAAGACAAGGAAGAATGCAGAACCACAATCCCACCACTCGCAGAAATCGCGGTCTGTTATGGTACGTTAGGTCACTTAGTGTTACATTATGAGCTAACGTCGACCGACACTCCCCTTAACAAACTCACGTTGTGACGTGACCGTGGCCGTGGCTCAATGTCGGGAGGGATGCGCTGTCCTTTCCCACGCTCCGCAGGGAGCAGCATGGCTCCTCTCTGGCTGCTTTCCTCCCATTGATTCCTGGAAGTCGAGCTACTGGGCGACAGGGAGTGAACATTTTATTAGCTATTGATGTGTTTCCAAACTGCCCCTAGCAAGGTGTTACACATCAGTGGGGTGGCAAGTTACTTTGGGCAAGTTACGTGACTACTGTATCTCAGTTTCTGCATCAGCAAAAGGGGGTAATGGAACCCAATTCACAAGGAGGGAAGAAATGCAGCAATCAGAGTAGGCTGGCTGAGCAATTTGCTTATTTTAAAAATATATTTTATTGATTTTTTTACAGAGAGGAAGAGAGAGGGATAGAGAGTTAGAAACATCGATGAATGAGAATCATCGATCAGCTGCCTCTTGCACACCCCCTACTGAGGATGTGCCCGCAACCAAGGCACATGCCCTTGACCGGAATTGAACCCGAGACCTTTCAGTCCACAGGCCAACGCTCTATCCACTGAGCCAAGCCTGTTTCGACAGCAATTTATTATTATTAAAAGGAACTATTCCAACCAGCATGGATATCATGATTTTAAATAAATGTTCACTAATTTGTTAGTGGCAACAGTGTTCTAATTTGACTCTTGGTTTGCCAGCAAGGGATAAACAATTGATTATCAGTGTTTTTCTCTTCTGGGACTTAATGCACCTCTTTTATTTCTTGGAGGGACTTAATGTATCTTTTATTGACTTATAAAACTTATTAACATAGTAACTCTTTATATATTTTGTTGTCATCAGTATTTTTCCTCAGTTTGCCTTTTAACTTTTTACAATATGCAGTAGTCAATCAGTGTTGTTACAAACAATCTATATTCTCACCCCATTCTCAATTAAAAACGGGCCAAGGACCTGAATAGACATTTCTCTAAAGAAGATATATATGTGGCCAATAAGCATACGAAAAGAAGCTCAAAGTTGATCAGAAGGGAAATAAAAATAAAAACCACAGTGAGCCATGTCACACCCACCAGGATGGCTATCATGCAAAGCACAGATAATAAGTGTTGTGCAGGGTGTGGAGAAATTGGAACCCTGGTTCACTACTGGTGGGAATGTAAAATGGGGTAGCTATTTCAGAGGTGCATGTGCAATCTGACAGCCCCTCAAAACATTACACATGAAGTCCCCATCAGACACCCAGTCATTTTGGACACCCAAGTGGGGCACCAAGAGAAATGAAGGCAAATGTCCACACAAAGACTTGTCCATGAGTGTTCATAGCAGCATTATTTATTATAGTCAGAAGTGGAAACAATCACATGTCTATAAACTGATATATGGATAAACAAAAGGCAGTATATCCGTGCTATGGAATATTATTTGGCAATAAAAAGAAATGAAGTACTGAAACATGCAACAACATGGATGAACCTTGAAAATATTATGTTAAGTGAAAGAAGCCAGTCACAAAAGACCACTTATTGTGTGATCCCACTTAAATATATTAATAATTATACTGATTTCAGAGAGGAAGAGAGGAGAGAGAGAAACATCAGTGATGAGAGACAATCATTGATCTGCTGCCTCCTGCATGCCCCACACCGAGGATCAAGCGCACAATCTGGGCATGTGCTCTGACTAGAAATCGTACTGTGACCTGCTGGATCATAGGTCAACACTGAACCGCTGAGCAACACTGGCCCGACTGTATGATCCCATTTATATGAAGTGTTCAGAAGAGGCAAAGCCTAGGGCTTGGAAAGGGGCAGAACAGGGGTTTAAGGGGTTGGCTGGTAGTACAGGATTTCTTTTTGAAGCAATGGAAATGTTCTAAAATTGATTGTGGGGGTGGTTGCACAACTCTGTGAATATACTAGAAGTTGTTGCATTGTACAGTTAAAAAACTGGTAAATAGTAGAGTATGTAAGTTAAATCTCAACAAAACTGTTATTAAGTGAAAACAACCCTATGCCTTGTGGATACCCAAAAGCTTTCCCTACATGGCTGTTGTCATGGGAATGGGACTTTCATCCCCAGGGTCTTGTTCACATCAGATCCAAGAATTCTGGCTGGCCCCACACCACAAGGACCCTTCATGGAACTCGGCCCTTTTCTGAAGTTCTACCCCTCCCATCCTCCTTGCCTCTTAGAAGTGTTCATAGCTTCCTTGTCAATGGGGTGGAGGAGTCAGGAGGGATGGTGTCATAGAAGGGCAGGCAGCTTTCAAAGCAACATCCAGTATCCTGGATGCGCTTCACCCATTTTTTAAAGTATATTTTATTGATATTTTTTTTTTACAGAGAGGAAGGGGGAGGGATAGAGAGTTAGAAACATCAATGAGAGAGAAACATTGATCAGCTGTCTGCTGCACACCTCCCACTGGGGATGTGCCTGCAACTATGGTACATGCCCTTGACTGGAATCAAACCTGGGACCTTTCAGTCCATAGGCAGACACTCTGTCTACTGAGCCAAACTGGTTAGGGCTCTTTTCATTTCTAATTGGGGCCTTCTCCTCAGCCTTTCACACCCCTCCCCATGTCACTCAGGCTCTCTCCAGCCGCTCCCCATCCCCTCCTGTCACCGATTTCTTCCTTAGCATCTCTCAGACAGAGCTGGTTAGAGTCACACAAACCTTTTGTGGCCACCCTCCACCCAAGGAATACATAAAGATATCTCTTACAAAGAGAAATATCTTCCAAAGGGAAATTCTGTCGTGGGCTGTAAAAGACACTCATTGTGGCTAGGGTTTCCTGTTTGTTTTTAAAGTGGAGAGGATAACTTAACAAAACTCCTGTAGCTTGAACCATTATCAATGCTTTGCCAATCTTGTTCTCACATAAGACAAAACTCTTCGTCTCAATTACTTTTCATTAGGGGCTTTTAAAATACAAATACATACAAATGCTCCTATCAGAACAAAACATAGAATCCAGGCTTGACAATCCAGTTCTTTCCCAGCACTAGGAAGCCAGGTGGCGCGGTTGGCTCAGGTGTATGGAACCTTGAGGAGGGGAGGGGGAGGGGGGCGGGGCGGAGGAGGAGGCGGAGGGCAGGTGTCCCGGGAGGGAGCGGAGGGCGGGGCTAGAAGGCGGTGTCGGACGCGGCGTCCTGGGGCGCCCCCTCGCGGGAGTAGAACTCCTCGATCACGCTCTGCGGGATGCGCTTCAGCATCTCCTTGGGGAAGATGCGCAGCAGCTTCCAGCCCAGGTCCAGCGACTCGAACACCGAGCGGTTCTCATAGGGGCCTAGAGACCGAGCACCACGAGTGTCAGGGTGTGAGTGTGTGTGAGTGTGTGTGTGAGTGTGTGTGTGTGTGTGTGTGTGTGTGTGTGTGTGTGTGTGTCGGGGTCAGGGGGTGACCGCCCCACGCGCCGCCTCACCCTGGTTGATGAAATTCTTCTCGAACTTCTGCAGGAACTCCAGGAAGAGCAGGTCCTCGGGCGTGAGCGCCTCCTCCCCCACCACCGCCTTCATGGCCTGCACGTCCTTGCCGATGGCGTAGCAGGCGTACTGGGGAGGGGGGCGCGGGCGGCGGTCAGCGGGCTCAGCGCCCAACCCTGGGTCCTCCGGGTGGCCGGGCTGGGGGGCCGCTTTCGGGGAGGGGTGTTGCCAGGAGAAAAGCTCGGGGTCTTTCTAGATCGGCCTCAGACCCTCAGCATCTGAGGCCAGCCCCGCCTCCTCCTCCCCAACCTCCCAACCTCCCCAAACTCCCCGGGGTCCGCTGCTTCCTACCAGCTGGTTGGAGACGTCACCATGGTCCTTTCTTGTCATGCCCTCCCCAATGGCGGACTTCATCAGCCGCGACAGGGAAGGGAGCACGTTGATGGGCGGGTAGATCTGGGGGAGCAGAAGGTGTGGCAGAAGGCAAGGTCCAGACTATCCCCTCCTTCCCACTCTGCTGCTCCCCCACCACCCATGGTGGTCTGGGTCCCCCTCCATCCTACAGAGAAGCGGGTTACACGCCCGCCCCCATCTCTCAGACTCCAGGGCTGGGTGTGTAGGTGTCTGCATGAGCAGGGGGAGCTGACAGGATAACCGTGAGAAAAGCCTCACCATTTCAAAAAGTGTGATGGTTGGACGAGACCAGGTTGAAGCTTACGTTAGTAGCTACCCAGAAAGAACCTGCCCAGCCGAAACCGGTTTGGCTCAATGGATAGAGCATCGGACTGCCGACTGAAAGGTCCCAGGTTCGATTCCGGGGCATGTACATTGGTTGCGGGTACATCCCCAGTGGGGGGCGTGCCGGAGGCAGCTGATCGATGATTCTCTCTCATCAATGTTTCTAACTCTCTATCCCTCTCCCTTCCTCTCTGTAAAAAATCAATAAAATGTATTTAAGAAAAGAAAAGAAAGAACCTGCCCAGCAAAGAGGAAAAAGTCATGGGGGTTGCCTTGACCACATATTCTAACCCAGTGGTCGGCAAACTGAGGCTCACGAACCACATGCGGCTCTGGAGCTGCGGGGTGCCGCTTTGTTGATAATGAGTTTGCCAACCCCTGTTCTAACCCATCGGCACATTATTTACCATCTACCGGTGCCGGTTACCCATTGTTTTCTGTTCGGAAAAGGAAGAGAGATGGTATTTCTTTAATATCTGCTGTCTGCCAGGTACTTAGTTTTACAATGTATTTTATCTTCCAAAGTGCAACCGTGTGATAAGTATAGTGATTCCCGTGTTAGAGGAGAGGAACCGAGGATCAGCGGGATGGAGTGTTTTCTCAGGTTCCCAGGGCCAGGTCACCTGGATTCTACCCAGACCTGCCCTCTGTGCCT